GACTCATTCATGTTCATCCTGCCCACTGGGAGCACAGAACCAGTGTGTCTCATTTGTTCATTGACCGTGGCACTCAAGCAGAATACAAAAATCAAGTAACTGTACTCAGCTCGCGTTATATTTGAAAAACGAGTAATCTGATTACAGTTACTTTCGTAAACCTGAAGTGAATACATTTTGGAATACTTATGGGAATTATTGGTGGAAAAGTTTCCTCATAAAATGTAATAGTCATTACCAGCAGAACTGTGTGCACACTGCACAGCGCTGCAGCGTGTCTGTGAGCGAGAGAGAGATGCAGCATGTCTGTGAGGCCCCGCCCCCGCACGCAGATCAGAGAGAGAGATCTCTTTTAAAATATATTGAAAGTTAGAAACGGAGATGGTTCGATAAAATGTGCAAGATAACGTTTATGTAGCATTTCTTTATTGTCGAAATGATGACATTTCATAACGGGATCAAATCAAAGTGAATGGCCTGCTGCTGCTGAATGCATGGGGCAAGTGACTGGAAACAGTTTTAAAAGTTATTACGTCGTTTCAGATAATAAATAATAATGATAATTCATTCTATTTAGGGGCGCCTTTCAAAGCACCCAAGGACACCTGACAATTCATAACATATTCTAAGGAAAGGTTTAAGAGAGTACAAATAATGCAGTCCGGGTGATGTTTTTTATGTGGGGTGCAGATGAGAGGGAGCTGTCCAGAATGACACCAAGATGTTGTGTTTGAGTTGTGCTCTTGATAAGCCATTAAAACAGTAAAATACGTGTCTCCTGTTCACCAAAACATACCCATCTGTTATGGAAAAATAAAGTATTCCAAAAGTATTCTAAAAGTAATCTGAATACGTTACTTTTTTAAGACACGTAACTGTAACTGTATTCGGATTACTTTCAGAGCCATGTATTCAGTATTCAGTAACCGATTACATTTACAAAGTAACCCTCCCAACCCTGATTAAAAGTGCCAAAACGCCACTATGAGACAAAACACAAAGTGTTTGACCAAACATTCCCTCTCAAGTCAGAACTGAGGTCACAAAAAATAAGCAGTCTCAGAGCCCAATATGATCAGTCTACCAGGATCAAAATTAAAACTAAATATCGTTCCAGGTCAGGCTAACCGAGGCTAACCAATGAGCACCTGCATGTGTGTATGAGAATGGCCCTGACACCATTTCAGCCCAGATTTAAACTCCTGGCAGGACAAGCTCAAGCTCAATTCTCGCACTGAATTAAAGAAAAGTGAGTGAGGGACTGCAATATAAGAGGGAAAGAAAGAGAAACTTTAAAACTGTTCAATTGTTATGATGTGTAAAGACTGATATTGTTCTATAATCGTCTGAAACTGTTAAGTCATGATGTGAAACGGTTAACAAAGCTATTTTATTTATTTCTCTATTTTATTTTTAAATGCAGCCCGAGAGGAACATTACACATATCCACAGTATTTTACTGTATATCTGTATAGTTCAATGTTCATTGACAATAAATATTGTTGTTTTTGAATTGTACTTTCTTTATTTGATTGGCAGTCGGTTGTTGATGACATGCAGACGTTGATAAAGCTACAGGCTACTTCAATATATATCACACTAATTCATAAAGCAAGTTAGACATTTTGATGTTCCGGACCTTTGCATGGGGACATGTTCTCTAACTGGACCTCATTGAATTTTAGTTGAATACCCCTGTCCTAAACGATAGCTGGGGATTCTGGGTAGTGTAGTGTCTTCGGCCATCCTAAACTCCGAAAAAATATTTGTTTCTCCGAATCGAAGGGGAAAAATACAAAAGCATTGTACACAATTTAAACCAATCAATGTTGTGTAATTAACAAGGATAATCTGGTGTTTTTTAGTTGATGAGTAGTGCAGATATCACTGTCAAATCAATCGACAGTAAGGGGAATACTTACTTCCGGGTGTACAATTCTCCGTTATCCAATGGGAATGGACACTCACATTGCCTTTAAATGCCGCCGACACAAACGAATACCATGCTTCCATGAGCGTCAAATCCCGCCGCAGATGGGAATACATTGCAATCAGTTGAAAGCTATTTGCGTCCCTTTATGAAGCTGAAGGAGCCTAGGAGCGTCCCAACTGCACGCCTCGGGACCCTGACCAAGCGTCGCTCCTGGACGTTTATGGAGTGAGAGTGTGTTTGTCAAAACAGCATTTCAGGAAACACCACAGCATTTCAGAAAACGCCGAAGCATTTCAGGAAACACCACAGCATTTCACAAAACACTACAGCATTTCAGAAAACACCACAGCATTTCAGAAAACACCACAGCATTTCAGAAAACGATACAGCATTTCACAAAACGCCACACCATTTCACAAAACACCACAGCATTTCAGAAAACACCACAGCATTTCAACTTATACGGAAAGGGTATTCCTTTAGGGAGAACACTTATTGTTTGTGATTGGACAGAGCCAGCCAGAGAAGCACTGCTGTGATTGGTTGTTTTTGCTGCCAGTCAAGAAATGACGCTTCGTGATTGGTCAGCACCCGACAGCGCAACATGTCCCAAAACATCAGCCGTTAGCTGTTAGCACACAGAGCTCACAGCTCCTCATATCTGTTCAGAAACTGGACAAAAGTTAAACATGTACAAACCACAGACTGTCTGTGTCATGGTGAATACAGTCGCTGCTTTATTTATGTCTGTAGGCCGTTGTTGTGAGTTTGGACGGAGCAGCTACAGGTTAGTTTATCCTGATCGATCCGATCTCCATTCAGAAAACACGTATTTTAAAAGGTGTTTCGCCTGCCGTCTTGTCTGCACACTTGTCACAGCATTAATTCATGGTTTTTACTAACCGGTATCAGTATGTTGTTACTTCGGCATCATTTTGAAACGTGTATTACAATCAAATCACGGTAAAATATGTTCATTTTGTTGTAGTAAAGTATTTGCCAAAGTATTTGCATGGATATAAGCCCCGCCCCCTCTCCAGCACGTCTTGTTTGAATGACAGGAGTAAACACAGCTGACAGCCACGGTGAAACCTGAAACTCGAGCGATTAGAGCAGGGGTGGGGAACCTTTTTCCTCTCAAGGGCCATTTCAATTTTTTCAACATCCTCCGAGGGCCGTACACATTATTGACCTCTGCTTAAAAATACTAAAATCACAGCCCATTCATTTCGCCTTTCTTTCATAATGTGCAAAGAAAAAGCAACCTCTTAATCCAGATATCTTACCATGACTCACGTATGCATGCACGTGCAAGGTTGTGGCATGACCACCAAAACAGAAAGATATGGACACAAGATGTGTGCAAATGTATTTAGTTTCCTATTCATGTGGACATGATTTAAGTGGGGGGGGACCTAACCTCCTCTAGGGGGGCATGCTCCCCCGGGAAGATTTGTTTTTAAATGTTGAAGTTAAAAGCATCAATCTGGTGCACTTTGAGAGCAACATGAGGAGATCTATGGATACATCTCTCAACATCCATATGAAACAGAACTGTAAGCAGATTTATTTTTCTTTATGGATATTTTACAAATCACTCCCCTCTCAAACTGTATTCTTGTTTATTAATAACAACTTTTTTTTACTGTCATATAGTATTTTATACCTGTTTACTTTATTCTCTTATTTTTTTATAACTATAATGATCATATAAAGATGTGCCTTTACCTCACTGGTTGGAGAAAAAGCTTCTTATATTCGTTAGCATAGCTAGCTAACCAGATGCTAATAACAACAAAGTTATTGACTGTATAATCAGTATGACATGAGCAGATCGCCACTGGGCTTTCAACTAAGACACAGCCACGCAAAAACTGCGGCATGTGTACGGCTCCTTATGGGTACTGCAATTTTTGGAAGGGCCGGAGCGACGTTCTGGTGCTTTCCGTCAGAACTGCACCCCTGTCAGACGAGACATATACCACGTGATGACACGTTAGGCTCGTGTTGTGTTCAAGGACCCTGACCTTGGCCAGGAAAAACAGGCACTCGCTTGATAATTTTTTTTGCGGTCTAGATTTCTTTAATTTTTTTCTTTTTTGCGTGTGTTTATAAATTACCTCGAGGGCCGTACCAAATGGTCTCGCGGGCTGTATACGGCCGGAGGTTCCCCACCTCGCATCTAAGTGCGTTACATGTACATTAGACATGACAAATAAAAATATTGTGTTTGCATAACGCACAGTTAAAACAGCACACAAACTTGAACTAGACAATTAAACTCATTTCACAACACTTTTAAACAGCAACGTGTACTGGAAATAAGACTTTCATTGCCGTGTCATTTCATCACTTCCTCTTCAATTCATGGAAAAACTCTAAGAAAGACTTGTGTATGTGTGTGAACATATTTTTATTTGGCAGCACTCCAAGAGAAGATATTATGATATTTGGAAATCAGCTTGTGCTTTCTTGGCATCAAACTGAGAAATCAAATATGGGTTATTCATCTTGTACAAACATTCCTTATTCAGGACAACAGTCACCTGAGGCACTGCCGTACACAAGTGGCTCTTTGTTTCTTCATATATATATTTACTTATATAGCTTTGCTCTAAGAAACTCTCTTGTGCAATATTGTGCAATGCTTTTGAGTAAATGTGGAAAGAAATCCAAAACGGACATGCAGTTGCAGGGTTGCTTGTGAATTTACTCCAAATGTCACTAAAGTCTTATTTAAGTGTTGAATATAATTATAATTGTTAATAAAAATGTGCAAATTAACTACATTTATAAAATGCAATGTTGTGGTAGAAGTACACGATGTATCTCAAAATTGTTCCTAAGTACAGTACTTGAGTAAATGTACTTAGTTAATTTACATCACTGCTTAAACTTCAAATCTCTGTGAAATGACTGTGCGAGCAGTAAGGGCCTGATTGGTCACATTTGACTTTTTGTTTTATCTTTATTGCTATACTTTAAAGTATGCCGAGTTGAAAAAATCGAACAAAACATCAGTGCAGTTGCACCACTCTTAATCATTCTTTTATTACTTTTTTTTCAGGTCATCCCCGTTTCTTCAACCAGCTGTCTTCAGGTCTGGATGTGATTGGTGTAGCAGGAGAGTGGTTAACCTCGGCAGCCAACACCAACATGTAAGATCTCAACAATAAAAGTTGACTCAAGGACTCTACCTTACACACTTGTTTTTTACTTGAGAATTGCATGTTTACTTCTTCTTCTCGAATTCAAGTATTTATACTTATTAGATGTATTATGTCAACAGATTTCACAAAACTGTATTAGGTCAGTTGAAAGCAATAATATTAAGTTCAAACCAAAATATTAGGTTCAACTTAATATTATTGTTTTGTGCTGGCGTTGTTTGTTCGCCGCTCCTCCGCCCAAAATCTTGTTCTTTAGTCCAGATCAGAACCTCTCCTGTCTGGCTCTCAACTTTTTAAACGTCAGTCATCAGCAAAAATAGCAGCATCTTTCTATCGAATCGACACGGATCTTTGTGTTGTCATCTCCTACCTGCTGGCTCTTTCCTGCTCACCGGTCCCTAGCCCGCTAGCTAGCTAACATTATCGGACCTAGCTGCTACCTAGATGCTCCTCGGCTCCCCGAAGTCTGCTGAGCTAACATTTCTGTCTCCACCCTAACTCCACCCTAACTCCACCCTAACTCCGCGGCTCGTCTGGGTCTTCCCATCCCGCTGCCATCAGCCGGCTTCCCCGCTGACATCGTCTCTCCCTGCCGCCTACAGCCGTTGGCTATCAAGCTAGCTAACAAGCTAGTAGGCTGGTCACCCGGCTCCCACTCTGCACCAGGCTGTCAGCCCCTCCTATGATTCTCCTCCGGAAACCACTGGAATTATTCTCCTGATATGCTGTGGATTATCCTTCTGATTCTAACTGGACTCACACCGCTCCTTCTTCCACGGTCATCCGGCTCCTGGTCTCTGTTGCCCGGGTCCCCAGCATTAGCTAGCTCCGTGCTAGCACCACTTCACCGGATCATGCCGCCGCTCTACTCGCTGTCAGATCTCCACTCCTTTAATAACTGCCTGCCTCCGGACTGCTTGGACATCCTCGCAGATAATGAAATACTTCGCAAATGCCGTCCTCCACACAGAGGCTCTGGCCATAAGATTTTCTTTCATTCCACGTCTCCACACTCCATCCCGTCCATTCGGTCCTGTCACATGCCCACACTACGCCATCACAACAAACAACACGTGAATCTGACCCATCTCCTTCCACTCCCCTGGTCCAAACAACCACTCCCAATGCAACGTCACCTCAGAGCAGCCCTGCTCAACACACGCTCCATCCACAATAAAAGCCACATTCTGAATGAATTCATTAAAGACAATAACCTGGACTTTCTGTATCTGACCGAAACGTGGCAAAAACCCCTGGACTATTTTTCTATAAATCAAATCACCCCAGCAGGATTCACATACATTGACAAACCTCGCCCACAAGGGCGGGGTGGTGGTATAGCTGCTATTATCAGAAAGGACATAAAAACTACCATAATCCGCATCCCTGATGTTTCTTAATTTGAACACCTGATCTTCAAACTCTCTGGTCCCACTCCCCTGGTCATAGCCATCATCTACCGTTCGCCGAAGCCAAACCCCTCCTTTCTCTCCGACCTCTCTGACATTCTCACTCAGCTTTCTGCCATATCCCCGTCTGTTCTCTTTTTAGGTGATTTTAACATTCATGTTGACGACCCGACCTGCAAATATGCCTCTGAATTTATGGAAACCCTTCACTGCTGCAACTTCTCTCAACACATCAACTTCCCAACACACAGCCGTGGTCACATCCTGGACTTGGTCTGCTCCACTGGTCTCACCATCCATCATCTGTCCAGCCTCAATCTCCACATCTCTGATCACCTGGTCATCATCATGGACATCAACATCCCCATCCCCGCCCAAAAGCAAAAACGCACAATAACCTACAGAAATCTCAAATCCATCTCACCTTCAGCAATCACTGCCTCCATTACCTGCAAGATGTCTCCTCCCCCCCCCCCCCCCCCCACTTTCTGCAAACCCATCTGAACTTGTGGACTATTATAACATCACCCTCTCCTTCTGTCTCAATGAACTGGCCCCCACAAAAACTAAAAATGTCTCTTTCATACACTCCGCCCCCTGGTATACCCCCGAACTCCGCCAAATGAAATCAAGGAAACGTCAACTGGAACGCCAACACAAGAAAACCACACTAACAGTCCATCTACAAATCTACAAAGACTATCTCCAGCAGTACAGTAACGCACTCAAAGCAGCCCGGTCTAATTACTACTCACAACTCATACAGTCTGGCTCCAGCAACCCCAAGCGTCTGTTCTCCACCATCAGCAAACTTCTCAAACCCTGTGACAACGCCACCTCATCCTTCACCACCAAACAGTGCAACTCCTTCCTCTCGTTTTTCCAAACCAAAATCAGCAACATTTACAGCAATCTGACACCCTCATCAGCACCCCCCACCTCCCCTCCTGGCTCCCCCCCCTTCACCTCACAGCCCCTGTCCCACTTCTCCCCTGTGACCCCCATGCAACTGTCCGACTTCATGACCGGAATTAACTCCACCTGCACACTTGACCCAATGCCCTCCATATTTGTTAAAGAGAGCCTCCCTGCCATCTCCCAACTCATCGCCACCATCATTAACTCCTCCCTCAGATCTGGATCAGTTCCCCCCTCTCTCAAACTGGCTGCTGTCACACCCATTCTCAAAAGACCTGGACTCACACCTGACATCATGTCCAACTTCCGGCCCATCTCAAATCTCCCCTTTCTGTCAAAAATACTTGAACGTGTCATTGCCTCACAACTAAAATCCCACCGCAGCTCCAATGACCTCTTTGAACCATTTCAATCCGGTTTCCGATCAAAACACAGCACCGAAACAGCTCTTCTCAAAATCACAAACGACCTCCTCTGACTCCGGCAACCTGAACATCCTCATCCTCCTCGACCTCGCCGCAGCATTCGACACCATCAACCACACCATCCTGCTGTCCCTCCTCGAATTATCACTCAACATCACAGACACTGCACTCTCCTGGCTGAAATCCTACCTCACCGACAGACATCAGTTTATCAACATCAATAACTGCACCTCCTCCACTGCTCCTCTGTCCCAAGGCGTCCCACAGGGTTCGGTGCTTGGCCCCCTCCTCTTCATCCTCTATATGCTCCCCCTTGGCAAAATCATTCGTCGCCACAACCTTCAATTTCACTGCTACGCCGATGACATCCAACTTTATATCTCAACAAAAACCATCACCCCCACAACACACTCCACTCTCACCAACTGTCTCTCAAAAATAAAAGCATGGATGCAAACAAATTATCTCCAACTGAACAGTGCCAAATCAGACATCATCATCATCGGCCCCCCATCCCCTACCAAAACCATCCAGAATGTCAACTTCACCATTGACAGCCCCCCCTCCCCCCCCCCTTCGTCTCCGCCCATCACTCTCCTCCTCTGCTGCTGAAACCCTGATTCATGCATGTGAACCTGGAACCTCTCTCATACAATAATACAAAGTGTGTGTGTGTGTGTGTGTGTGTGTGTGTGTGTGTGTGTGTGTGTGTGTGTGTGTGTGTGTGTGTGTGTGTGTGTGTGTGTGTGTGTGTGTGTGTGTGTGTGTGTGTTTGTGTGTGTGTGTGTATGTACTGTGATGGATTGTTGGAGCTATGTGCAGCTCAAGGCATATATTAGACCCTCCAGAAAAACGCGATTATGCGATCGCATAATTTACCGCATAATCAGCAAAATAGCGCATATTTTTAAAAGGCCGCATATTTCTTAAAAGGTCGCATAATCCCCGCATTTTTCCACACAAAATTGAGGAAAAAAAAAGTTAACGTGAAGTAGTGATGTCATCAGCTCGCGCAGGTAAACAACACAGTAGAGTGAATGTGTGGAACTCACACGAGAGAGAAAAGCAACAAGATCAGCACCATATAGATTATTATATAGCCTACTATTATACTATTATTATTATATACTATTATAATTATACTATTATACGGCTCTGACCAAGATGAACAAATCGAATCCATCCCATTTGCCTACGAACATTTCTGCTAAAGACCGGGCAAAGCAGTACGCAGATGTCTTGCACGAAAGTGGGGGGAAACTATTCTGCACCCCGTGCAACTGTGTGTTGGAACATACAAGATTGAAGCTGGTCAGATAACGAACGGGTAAATGAAAACAGAATGAGGCGGAGGTGTGTGTGTGTGTGTGTGTGTGTGTGTGTGTGTGTGTGTGTGTGTGTGTGTGTGTGTGTGTGTGTGTGTGTGTGTGTGTGTGTGTGTATCATAGGAACTCTTTAAAAGGGCTTCCTTTCATTCAGTAGCCTAGTAACAGGGTGTGGGAGAAGAATCACCTTTTTTCCGCCTCCCGCATATTTCGCAACTTTTCGCATATTTCGCATATTTCCGCATATTTCGCAACTTCTCCGCATATTTCGCATAAAAACCCCGCATGTTTAATCGCATAATCAAGGATTTTAGCCCGCATAATCAAGGATTTTAGCCCGCATAATCAAGGATTTTAGCCCGCGTTTTTCTGGAGGGTCTAATATATGCTCGAACGGGAGCTGCCTGGACGCTGCAATCATGTTGCGCGCACTATCCGTGCTGAGTGTGCTGACTTTTCGTACAATGTCCCACTGTCTGGCTACCTGCATAAAGTCAAGTGCTTGGCGCAGTTGTCGGCGAAATGTCGCTCCTCTGTTTTCATTGAAACAGCTCCTTATATCCGTTAGCGCAGCTAGCTAGCACCAGATGCTAACAACAACACGTAAGGTGTGCCTCGCCTCGCGCCACACATACACACACTCTCCCGGTCCTCCCGATGGCCAGTCCGGGCCTGCCGGTGAGCGTGGAAGTGTGGTCTGCCACAAGCGGGCGGCAGGAGCGGGGCTGTCAGCATCAGCTTGTAGATGGTATTTTAAATTCAATGCGCTCTGAAACTACGGGGCGGCCGAGGACAAAAAATACACATGCGTTAATCGCGTTAAAATAATTAGTGGCGTTAATTTTTTTTTGCATTAACGTGTTATTAACGCGTTAACTTGACAGCCCTAATACAAATATATTTATCATAAT